TTATTGACCATTTCCAAGAACAAATAAGTTCCACTAGCTTGTTCACCGAACTCTTTTCGTAGGGCCGTTGATATCCCTATCGAAAATAGCAGGAGAGCAGGGGCAACTTGTTGCCTCTCAAGCGTACTGGGCCAAACAGTTACACGTTTGATGCGCACAGGGGCTGTAAAGACTGCATAACTTTCGAATCCACTGAATATCACAAATTCCTCCGGGCAAAGTATATCCTGTAGATAACGTCATTGTTGGATACTTGAAGACGTATCCTTTACGAATTAAGTTATTCCGAATACACTTAATTATGTGTATAAGTCAGTGTAATGGGAACAATTTATGGCCATTGACATCAACACTGCTTGGTAGTGACTGTTGAGGTAAAGCCAATCGGTGACCAGGTGGTTCTGGACTTGTATCGCAAAGAAGTAGCATCCTGCAAGCCTTCCTATTTACGGCGCTTCCATCAAAAATAATTGGACACACAATAGCGCCGGCTTCTGGGGCTTTGGCAATCGCCGTCGACATGTATCCATTTAATGGTTCGTCTGTCATCTTAGATACACGTTTAGACATTAAATTCATGGAAAGCTTTCGTCCGCTGACCGGTTTCAATAAAAAGGTTTGCACATGGTTGGCGAGCACCTCCGGGTCATTATGAGCTGGTCCGTAGAAGCCAGTCTTATGTGCAAACTGATTCGTAGGTCTGATATTGACCTCGTCGACATGTATCATGAATACAGCATCACGTACTATACTGGCTTTATCTTTCTGAGTTGAAAACTGTGCTATCGCTAGTTCCTGTTTTTGCTTACTGTCAACTAGCAATCCCTTATCCGTACCAAACTTGTTTATACTACCATTTGCACGCATGCGGATGATAGATGAGAGCACCGCAGCATGTGCCGAACCAGGACCCGCAAATATACAGTCGGCGGGAAGTGCATTACAATTTATTTGTGAGAACAGAGTTCTGGCATCAGGCGGAACATAAACAGTGAATTCTCACGTGTAAGTATGTAGAATTCAGGCTTCTTAATATAAATGTGATGTGCAAACGCCAGCACAAAAGAGCTCACAGGGAAACGTCGTTTATATCGACTTGTTTCTAGCATTTCTACTTGCTCTGCAAGAAAGTAGTAGAATACTGCTCTATCTTTACCAGTCACACTTTCCATTAGGTAATTACCTCTCTCCCGTAATATAGCGCAAACTGATTTAGAAGTTTGGACTGGTTCAGTGCAGGGTACCAGTATATCTGTTGTGTCTTCAACATGATGAACACGTTGCAATATACCGCTATATGTATTTGTGTCATCGAGTATTGCCTCAACATATGTAACCGACTCCACAAAGCTTTGCTTCGCATCATAGCATGTACTCTTTACTGAACAATGCGAAGGAGTGTAAACTGACACACTTACAAATTCACGTTCTGTACTGGGTACTAAGTGTATGCGCTGCATTAACGGAGTTTCACTGATCTCGGAATAGATAGATCGTGTAAGAAGTAAACGTTGGTTTTGGTGCTGTTCCTCAACAGCCCACTGTTTGTGTAAACGGGGTAGTGATGAAAACAAGTTCTGAAAGTCTCCGATCATATCTTGTTCCATGTTGTATCTAACACTTCCTCGATACACCTCATATCCTGCACACGCTCTCTTTCGCGCTCGTTCAGCTGCTTCATTCGTCTCTAATAACTTTTTTGTTGTACCTATCGGCTCAAGCGTGCACAGTTCGCTATAGTAGATCAATAGTCGTTGACGTGCTTTTTCCTCAGTTACGGGCGTACCATTGGGTGATAGTGGTTTCAAATACATAGTAGGTGCGGCCCCTAGTACCGTCACTATATCCCCATTTTCCTTTGTAACAAGCACGGTTCTATGAAAATGTATAGAGCATATTCGGTGATCATTACGCTCCCAATACGCCTTTGCTACTTGCGCAGATGACAGAGAATCGTCAGCTTCGAATTGCCGAAAACAAGCCTCTATCCAAACTTGTCGCATCTCATTGTTTATCTCGATCTTCCGCCTTGCTTTCTGTGCAGCCGTCCCTGGTCTCGCCTTATTGAAAGCTTTGTGGCGAGGTATCCGAAAGAAGGATACTTTCACCCCATCACGAACACCACCGGTTCTATTGCCGCACGTAGCTACACAACCTCGGGCCCGGATCGAGGGTTATAGGGTTTTTGATATCTTTTACCACAAAATACTATAAAAAAAAGTATTCAGTGTCGTGTCAAATATCGAATGTCGAATGTCTACTACAGACACTGCCTCCTAGGCTCCTCCAGCTGGCCATACATAGTCGAGCATTTTCTCTTGTTTGTGCGTGTCGGTGTGGACTGTTGCTATCCCAATTGTTCACTAACAATCACACCTGCTCAGTACGCCCCCGCTTGAAAACAGCTACACTCATATTCTTCTGTTTGAATCAGGCATTATGCCAGACCCTTCGGAATCGAGGGCTCATACGACGGTACAGTATTCCGTGAGCAGAGGTGTAACGGTAGTCAAGATTGGAGGGGCGGCACTGACGAATAAGTCGACGTTCGAAACGATTAACACAGTTGTATTTACTGAGGTGGTCTCACAGATAGTGCAAGTATGGGGTCAACAGCGTGGAAAGCTGATTGTAGTCCATGGTGCAGGATCCTTTGGCCACTTCCAGGCCAAGAAATATGGCGTACAAACAGGTACCTCGAGATGGGATGAGAAGAAGCAACGGAATGAGAATAGTATACAATCAAACACAGATACGACAACAAGTGATTTAGCAGAACTCAGTATGGGGTTCTGTCTTACAAGGCAGTCGGTGACCAGGTTATGTACTTTATTTGTTGATGCGTTGATTGTCGCGGGTATACCTGCCGTATCTGTGCCGGTGTTGCCCATGGTATTTACCTGTGATCGAGAGCCTGTCTCGTCTCGGGACAGTATGCAGTGTGTGAATATGCTGCTGGCAAGAGGTATGCTTCCGATCATGCATGGAGACGCTGTGCTAGATACAGCCCAGTTCTGTTCCATTCTCAGTGGAGATACAATACTACGCGAATTAAGTGTAAACAAGAGCTACAATGTGAGCTCAGTAGTGTTTATGACCAACGTCTTGGGCATATACGATCGCCCTCCTCATCGTTTGGACAAAACAAACACACCGCCAGTTATCCAAGTATCTGATATGCACTCGATGTCCATACATGAAGGAAGTAGCTCTGATACTACAAGCGGCGAAACTATATTTGATAGAAATAGTATGACATTTACACATGGTGATCAATCAGATCATATAGGCGGGAGCCCTCGATTATTGAGACATGTTACTGTTTCCAAATTAGGCAGTAAGGTAACAATCTGGAACGGGCACCACCTTCAACGCAAGTGTTCCACCCCACGAATTGCACTAACTGATACAGACCAGAACCTCACGAACATTGTACTAGGCGCTTCAAGGGATACAGACGTGACGGGAGGTATGAACACGAAGATCGCGGAGGCCAGGGCGATTGCAGATGCCGGCGTGCCTGTTATTATAGTTGAAGCAGGTACTCAACATTCCCTGCAGGCGCTGAGAGATGGTGTGGCGATTGTTCGGAGAATAGAAGAGACTGGAGGTGATGTGGGTGAATGGAGGGGCACGGTTGTGTCTAGTACGGATATGAATGTGGATTGCATTACGGATGGGAATTGAAGCTGTGCTACGCAGGGCTACAAATTATAACTGGTTCTTATAAATTCAGATGACCGTGCTCTTCTGTACGCTACCTATGGTGAATGACTTTATTAGTCATGGCGAGGGCATGTGAGGTTCGCAACCAGGATAGTCTGTTGTTTATCTGCGCGAATGCCAAGCGGGCGATATGCAAAGTATGTGTCTGTTACACTCAGGTGGGTAGTCAAATATAAGTGGCGATTTTCAAGATCTAGCAAGATGAATTTACACCAAAAACCCGAGCTACACATATGTACTTAATGAATTCCGGAAATATTGCTCTACGTACGGGATATAAAAGTGGTTGAGCTGCAGAACTTGTACTTGTCATATTCTCTGGGCTCAATATGCCGTATAAAGCACAATCTGTCGTTCCTAAGTGCGAGTCTGGGAGCTGTTAGTTTTTTTTAACGTGCGAAAGGCCAGCGGCAGCGGATGTCTTTAACTCTATACCACACAGTCAAAGACGCCTATTTGGGTTGTCTATAGTTGCCAAGTGCAAAAGTCATATCATGCATAGCTTTTCAGCCAAGAACAAGAGATCAGAGACAGTTGTAAAATAATATAACCTACACGATAATAATTGAAAGCAGAGACAACATTACAGAATGAGCCTGGTCCGCTACCAGTGTGCAGTACAATAGGTAGCAAATGATACAACCTAAAACAG